TCCTCCTTGCATGTTCACTTACCAAACTCGTCATTCCTTAATGATTGATTTAACTGTACTCCATTCAGTGACTTGTATAAATGTTCTGTATTCATCTTCTACCCTGTGTTTTTTAATCACCTTGAGCTGCTTAGAATGTTCTTTTGTCATGGGTTAAGCCACAATACCAACTTATGAGAAGTTGGACCTTCCAGGTAAATGTGTATTTATGCTACAATCATGTAAAACCTCGAGTACACAAAAATTATTTTGATGTAATGGTAATTTTGGAAAATAACCGTGTGCAGCAGAGATGATTTATGTGTCATATTGAGGGGGTATATACCTATGCAGTAAAATTATTTTAAGGTTTTTTTTATTACAATTAATTGAAATAACTTTCCACAGATCTGTTTTTACTTTGAAATGCAGGCGTTTATTTGTATTGATCAGTGAAAAAAAAAATCATAATTAGAATTACTGTGATCTGATGACAATAAAACATTCCAACTTTCAAGGGGGGCAAATACTTTTTATATTCACTGTACATCCATAGCTGCAAGGATATCTGTAATAATGGTATAACCACTTAAGTGCACAACACACACAATGCAAAAAGGCATTAAAGATACCACACCAAATCCCTTTATATAGTATGTGCCAGCTGGCATAGTTAGAATGGACTAACTTGTTAAGTTGATGTCTTTCATATTAGTCTTGTTGCCATGATACCCCTGATGTATTTGATACACTATGAGGAAAGCCAAGTTAGGAGATTCGTAATAAAGCTTCATTGTGTTCATTGCTGTACCAAAGCTTTTAATCAGAATAAATCTGAAAGCAAGAGACCAACCTGGCGGTAAATTTTGCGTTATCACTTGGTGCAGTTTCAGGTAGCAAAGAGCAAACTTAAAAACCATCAAGGACTATTATTATTATTTGACGTCCTTTAGTAGATAAAGATAAAACAGGCCTGTTAATTCATTCTTTGCTGAATGACTAGTTTTCAATGTTGTTAGATCTCAGCACAGGACTGGTAGCTTTCAGCACCAATGCCTCAGAATCCTGAAAAACTAAACATGCTGTTTTAGGTGTTTAATATTGTCATCAACTAGAGAACAGGTTAGGCAGTGGGGGGTAAAGTAGAGGTGTCATGAGAGAAATAAGGGGGTTGGCTCTTTTGCTGACCCACTAAATCGCTGACGTGGAACCAGTATATACTGCGGCTCAAAATCAACAAATGTGTCAGCATTTTAGCATTTTTTAGATGAAGAATTTAGCAATGGTAGCCCCTGTGTTTATTCATGACAGGTTTCCTTACTTACGTTAAGTAAGGTTAAGTGTCAAAAGGGCAAGTTTAGTGTTATGTTTAGGAATTAAGATTACGGGTCTGGGTAAACCTTAGGGAACATGCTTCAAGTTTGTGTTGGTGGTAGGTTAAGTGCAAGGTTTGGTAAGAGAGAGGGTCAGGGACAGGTTAGAGGTTAGCGAAACTTGGGGGAATTAAAGTGCCACTAAACTCAGGAGTTAAATCTTAAAAATGCATTCAAGTAATCATTCAACTATTAACAAAAATGTACATTTTTGTCTAGTTTTGTTCCTCATGGTTCCTGTGTGTGTTGTAAAGTAACCACCACTCCAACTCCCTCCCATGATGGGCTACAATCTCATGTTTAGGTAACTAATTTGTATTGAGAGCCACCCTCCAGAAGGAAGGACAGTGTCAGCACCAATTCAGAAATGATTTGATGATCTACAGCCCATCAATGTACAAATAAGATACATTTTTTTCAGTAGTTAAGGTACTTGAATGCATTGTTAAGATTTAACTTCTGGAGTTTAATGGCACTTTAATTAATTCAGTGCCAAAAATCTGAAACTGAGAAATACCATGCTAGGCTTCCGGTGTGGAAAACTATGTTTCCCTGTGCCAACTGAAGGAGGCTGTTTTACACATGCCCCACAGTGGATTTTCTATGAAGGCTTCTGACTTTTCTGAATATTTGACAGGCTTATCTATTCCCTTATTTTGCCCATAAAGAGGTCAGTGCACGTTGTGAAAAACAGTAATGCATGCATCATCTCCTCTTAGCACCACTAACTAGGACCATGAGTAAATTTACCACCCCACCACAGTAGGATTGCTGGTATGCGGTTATCATTTTTGCCCCATGCACAGAAATACTTACATACAACTGTGCTGAAAAGTATGTGACAATGTAATGTATCAATACGTATTTAACTTTGAAAAATAGTTATGCATTCAACTCTCTTCTATTTGCGGTACCGATAATAGTCATTTAGAAAACTTCATGGCTATTCAATTGCAAAAGGTAGAACTCTTAACCCATACCCAATAACCTGCCAGACATCAAGTAATTTGCACTAAACGTCTGTCAGTATACCAGAAGCCGCCCCTTAGCCAGCATATACTGGATTTCCAGAGAATTATTCCAAACCACCTGCTCATTTTTCATATAGCAAGGCTGAGGCAAGATACAGACAAATTTTCATGATCAGTTAAGAGACATGACTCATACAGCATATTTTCAACAGGTGTCCCTGAATTGTGTACATTGGCTCAGCTTAGAGCAGTGCCAATTGCTGCCAGCTAATGAGAATAGGCTCATGTTACATGAAAGCACTGGAATGTAGTTGATACCATAGACTCACTTTTCATGACCTAGAGTAAGTGTATATGATATTGTATGAAGCTTTGCTTTCCGGGAACCTATTAATAATAATACTGCATAGGCGTTAAAGAACTCCTCCGGGCACAAATGTCATTAACCCTTGCAGTGCAGCTCCTCCTGCACTGCAAGGGTTAACTGCTCGTTTTTGCCTGGGTCAAACATTTATAATCACCTCTGATCCAGCAGCGCTCCCTCCAGCGCCTCTCTTGCACCGCAGCAATGGTATATCCCTTGGCATCCTCACGTTCTATACACTGTATTGGATGTGATGACTCGAGGATTCCTAGACCACTGCAGCAGTGGGGGAGAGATGTTCCTGATACTGGTCTAAGAGCAAGCAGGCTTGGACGATTAGGTGAGTTTTGTTTTACCCTAGGCAAAAAATTAGCAGTTAACCCTCGCAATGCAGGGAGAGCCCCAACGCAAGAATTAACATTCCTACCTGAAATTCTTCTTTATATTCCATGCAACATTTTAAATGGTCCAGAATAAAGATTTATTGATAAGCACCAGTATAGCCTTTGGTAAGCACTACCATGTTAAATGAAAAGTTTTCTTGTGTAAAAGGCGATTAAACTTTACACTGTGCTCAGGAGACAGATGGAACATCTACTGATAAAGAAGAAAATCAATATATATGTTCATAAACAATTTTTCTCTATTATACTGCTTTACCACACAAAAATCCAGCCTTTTCTCTGCCTACATAAGCTCTGTTCTGTGTCACCAACTGACACATAAAACATTCTTTCTTTCCATTACAGATAATACAAAAGCACATTTTTTTTCTTAAACAGATATCTCCATTAGAACATTTTAAGGTGATCATACGTGGACTAGGAATTCCATGTAGCAGTGATAAATGTAATATCTTTGAGAAATGTGCATGGTGTTTTGAGCTGTATAGTCTGTGGTGTGGTTTCCCAGTATGGTTTTCAGTGCTGCCTTTTTTACATGGGTGGAAGATGAATATCAGTTTAAAATAACTGGCAATTCACACTTGGGACCCCAACATAACAGTTTCTCTAGTATGGTTGATGGGGCTAGAATAAAAAAATCCCAAGTTACATTTGGCTAAAATATGCGGTAAATGTTCCTTTTTATACCATATGGCCTGCTTGAATATTGTGTGTGTATGTTATTCAAAAGAAATATCTTATTGGCTGGACCACCTGCTAAAAGTGACAAAACTAGCATGTAACAAATGTACATACTTTTACCTGTTCATAAGTATTACAGAGAAGCTGACACAAACACACCACTGGTGATAAACAAATGTATATGTACTGTGTACATTTAAAAATCTACACCACTATCAACAGATTTTGTCAAGTAAAAATGAGTAAATTAAGTCAAATTTGACACCTAAATCCCAAGATAAATATTACCTGTGCTGTATATTAAGACATTAACTTTTCTCATAGCTCATGTTCTATTTTAATAAGTTCTAAACAGTATTAGATTTTATCTCAACAAATGGAAATTGTGCATGTATGTATGTATGTATGTATGTATGTATGTATGTATGTATGTATGTATGTATATCTATACATAGATCTCATAATTACACTAATACCACATATGCCCTTCACCATGCACATGTCTTCTGCTCATCAGGTACACTACAACAAAGTTCTGTCATTGCAACAAATGGTTTACAAAAATAAAATTGCAGCTAATTCATTCAGCTTTGCTTACATTTTTCTTGTGAGTACTGGGCAATAATTTGCTGTTACTAGGTCTATGTTGCATGCTGTTGGTTTTCAAACAATGAATAACACCCATGCTGATCTGTAATATTTACCATTGGCACAATACAACTCAATCTGTATGCCCTAAAGATAAATCCCAGCATAGCCCATGCACCCCTAATGCAAAAGCTCCCAAAACAAACATTTTGTAACACATATTTTGTTTAGTAAATGAGGCTTTATGGCGATATGAAATTAAGGAAACACTGGGGACCTATTATTTGTATTAGTCTTCAGCTAGTCCTTACAGTGAATCTTGTCCTTAAAGTGAACCCCTTATATGTTAGCCCCCCCTCTACCCCCATGTAAAATGCAGTATGAAACAATAAAAAACAAATTAGTGGAGGATCCCAAATCTTGTACGAAGAAGCTCCTACGAAGTGCTGATATGTCTTCTTCCATGATTCAGGACGCTCAACTCTAGAAGGTTATCGCTAGAAGGCCTGTGACGTCACCTTTGGGCTAAGTATATTTAGACTTTGTAATATCTCTGTATTCTTACAATTTAAACAAGGCATTTGCTTACATGTTGTGTGTCTCATATACTGGTACACCTATAGCTACGATAATTACTTACCTGCCTGTAAGTGCATATAATGATCTCTCGTAAGTGATAATGCATAGGAGTCATGGTTTCACTGACACTGTCAAGTGCCATATCTACTTCTTTCTTTATTTTGTGTCCATCAGGCAGTAACTGAACAATCTTCATCACTACCTGAAACAGTGGATAGATATGGGAAAGTGTTATCTTAATACATGGAAAATGTGTGACGCAAGCCAACATTCATTGAGAGATAATGAACTCTGGAATTGAGCCATCCATTGCACTGTAAAGTCTATTTTATTATGTACATTATTAGTACAATAATACTTGGTCATAAAAAAAATTTATACACAATCAAGGAGAAAAGATCCAAAAATGTCCCTTTGAGATGTGATATAGTGTATATTCTGATGCCACCTAGTGGTATCCATGGTCTGCAATAAATTAACTTATAGAAAACCAGCCCTGTATACCAGACATTTTTTTATTCTATTATAAAGGGCAAATGATGTTGCACATTGTATAGAAATCCATCAAAATGTTTTGATGTTTTTGCCTAAATATAGCTAAAACAACTTGTAGCATTGCAAAGAAAAAATAACAAAAACTAGCTATTATTGGGGGAAGGAGTTGCTTATGTGAAAACTATTTGTAACAATACAAACTGTGTATAACAACAGGAAAGGTGATATCAAATGTTGCAGTAAAGGAATTACTAAAACAAAATAATATATCTGGGTGTAGACTTCTAGTTCTGAGAACTAGTCAGGAAAGCAGCTACAGTTGTTAATGCAGCAAGCATATGAAAAGAAACTGAAGAGGTGAATGCGTCTAGTAGAGAAAAAGCATATTGGGTGAAATATAGAAGCTCTTCTTTCGATAATAATGTAGGACTGAAAGTCAAGTGACAAAGGTTTGCATTATATTATCAAATGCAAAGCAATAATAAAAGTGATAGGAGAGCTGATGCCACTGTGTGGCCTGTGAGAAAGTAACGGGCAGAGTCAGGCTACCTTTATTCATTTCCAATGTCTTTAGCGGGCTTTTAAAACGTGGAATGCTTTATGTTTGTAAAACATGTGCACTGATCATTAACATGATTATGATGTACAAAGTGTTTAGTGCAGATGGCAACATCAGCAATAAACCTTTTACTGTAAACTCCCTAACAAAGACTAGAGGCCACCACCTAAAATTGGTGGAGAAAAGATTTAACCACAAAGGGCGTAAAGGCTTCTTTTCAGTTAGAGCGGTTAAGTTTTGGAACTCTGCCACAAGCAGTGATATCAGCAAAGAGTATTGAAATTATTTAGATGCCTTCCTCAGAGACCGTAACATACAGGGCACAGGTACTCTTAAAAACTAGACCACACAGGGACGACGCACGCACAACACACACACAGGTTGAACTTAATGGACCTGTGTCTTCATTCAACCTCAATACTATGTAACTTAGTAACAGTAACAGTGAGGATTTAATAAACACACACTAGTTAAGATCAAAGAATGTTGGTGTAGATTTATTTTCCTTATACAACATGGAAAATCTAAGCACTGAGTATTTCACTGCTACTTCCTATTACAGGATCGTGGGAGGTCCTAGTGCGGTGTGCCACACATCTCCGCTGGGCAGCATTCTTCAGGCAACAAATAGCACCTGGCAGTCCATCAAGCTAAATACAACGTGGGATTATGAGATGTGGATAAGTCCCTGCTGTACATTGCCATGAAAGCACTAACCACAAATTATCTACCAAGTGTGTGTGGCATGAAAATGTCTGGAAGGCATTTAAAATAACCTGTGCAAGAGCTGCATTTTCCCATTTGATGTTGTTTCTATGGTATTCTGACTTTATGCATACCGGTAGTGACAGGACAGCTCTGTGCTCACTTTATTTTCCTTTTGTTCACTAAATTTCAAATTGATAAATGGCGCCATACTTCAAGACAGGGCCTGGAAAATCAAGGTTCCCAGAATGTTAATGGCAGCCCTGTGGCATCAAGTTTTTATTTTATCAAGTCTTTTTTTAACTGTTTTCACTACAGTTAAACCTTCTCAAAGCCAAGCAGCGTAGGTTATTATATACAGATTTTTTTAAGTGATTCATGCTCTCTCCAAGCATTTCCTCTACTAAAATTGCAGTACCTTTTTTATGAGACCTTTAAATAAACACTCAGCGGTGCTCAGCACAGGGAACATCCAACTGCAGTCCAATTACACTGTACAAATGAGAGAGGGGGGGGGAAATCTGATATTTTAGGTGCTTGAATTAGTTGATTCCTACTTTATAAATACTACCTTATTAATATTACCCATCGTTAACATTCCAAATTATCCATATACTTATTTTAGGGTTGCGACTATCAATATGTGGTACCTGTGACTTTATACAATCGCCTCCGCAGACTTGCAGTGGGGAAAAGGCTGCTATTTGGGTTGGAATTATTTGACAAATAAACCCATGTGTAAAAGCATCGGCATCATAGGAATCTGCTAACGTCTTTATACACATGCATGGTATACTATAGTGCACTTGTGTGTGCTAATAAGAGAAAATTAAAGCATTTATAGTAATTGTCTCACCTCAAACTCTCCCTTTGTGTATTTGGCATCTGGAACACTAACAATTTCATCCTCACTGATGTCAGGAATAGTCTGTAATAACGATAACAATAAAACGTATATATATATTATTATTATTATACAGAATTTGTATACCGCCAACAGTTTGCGCAGCGCTTTACAATATAAGAAAGACATTACAATCACTATACAATTCAAGGCAAGATGGTAAGGAGGGCCTTGTCCGTATTGTGTGTATAGAGATATATTATGTATTTATTACTTCATTATTGTGTTGTGATACTCACATTAAAATGCCAGAGAATAAGCAATCCAATGACCATTGCAGTTGTTGTCCTTCCTTTTCCTTCATGACAGTTGAAGACAAAGGCTGCATTGGAGTCCTCTGCAAGTGTACACTTCATAGCCTGGAGAATCATGTCAAAATCCTGCAAGAGAAAGAGTTCCTGAATGCCATTTAATCCTGGCACTCTTAGCAGCCTAATGCTAGGGTCACACCTGGGCGATCCGTGACTGGGCGGCAATCGTGCACGATATATCGCGGATTGCCACGCAGTCACGGAGTCGCCCACCACCGACAATTGCGCTGGCCATGCCATTTTCTAATGGCGCCCCAGTCACGCAGGGCAGATTGCGCAGTTTCCCGCCACGATTTCGCCCGTGCACCCTTTTTTTGCAATTGCCGCAAGGATGTACCCCATTGAAATCAATGGGGCCGTGCGGCAATCTTGCGCAATTGTGCACGACCGTGCGGCCCCGATCGCCCAGGTCTGCACCAGCACTGAATGAGAAGTTGATATGTTTGGCAATTGCAACTAGTTACTTTTCTAAAGTGGATCAGAAAATAAAGGACTGGATTCTTATGGGAGCTCAGGCACATTTTACAAAAAGATGGGAACATGTTAAGGTTATGTGAATGTGAAGTTCAGGCAGGAGTGTTGCTAGGCCCGAGCTTGGATGTCTTCCTTTGTGCCCCTGGTAAGCAATACCGAGATGTGCTTCAGTCCCTACAAAATCAATGGTCATATTACCCATGGTTCTGCAGAAGAACCTGCACAGCAGTAACATGATACAGATCCAGAAGCAGCAAAGAGCAATGGGAAGCTCTCTCAGGCTCTTCCTCAGCTCTGATGCATCATATGACACAGCTGAGAAGCTTACCAGGACTTTTTCTCAGTACCAGGCACTGCTCTACTTCTGTGGCCTGCTAAGATTTTAGCTTACAGTCAGGAGTACGCTCCATAGTCTTAAACCCTACACCCCTTATGCTGAGCTGTAGGTTACATAATTCTGAACACTGAACTCTGGACGCAGGGGTATACACCCGAGGAGGCACTTTGTACACTATATAGGTTAAATGTTCTATGCTCCTGACTCCTGTACTCTATATGCCAATTACATAACCTAACCATGTTCACAAAGAAGATGTCACTAATGGTCTTAAATATAAAGTACCAGTATGACGACAGCGCATCTTCCAGTATTTTGTGTTTATCTGTTCTTCCTTCTCACCTGTTCCCTAGGAGCACAGAACTCTGGAAAGGGAATTCTTTTATATGCCAGGCCTGGACATGAGCCTTTCTGCTGGTTGAATATTTCCTGCATTGTTAGACAGGTTTTAAACATCTTCATCTGCTTCTCCTGTTCCAGGTACACTTCTAACCACTTTTGTGCACTCAGGATATTATTCACTATTGTGGCTTCTAATTTCTGGAAAAAAATAGAAAATACTGGTCTATAATTGGTTATATCTGAAAACATCTGTACAGCTGCAGAGCGATACAATAAAGCATTCACCCATTAAGACTTATCCCTAGGCGTACATATACTACTGATTAAAAATGAATTGTATTGACTTTTGCAAGATATGTAATGTGTACGGTCATAACCAAAGCTTGATAAAAGAGTGCTTTAAGTTGCTTGCAGACATTTTCCAGCATGATGAAAGTATTCTGGTGAGCATACCTTCATATAGAAAAATAGCCACCTACGCATCAAACCTTTCACTCTGTCCATTTTCTAATGCAATTAAAAAGGTGTTTCACGAAAACTTGAAGAAAAAGCAAGATCAACTAGGGCCCATTCATACCATACGTGTTGGACTGCACTGGGCAGCCATGCCCATCACAGTCCCAACGCATAGAATAGGCAAATTGCCTTATGTCCTATTAGTTCAGTCCACAGCCATGCACTCACGTATGACATCCTTTAAAGTTTTTCACTGCAGCATTTTGTGAAGCTCTACACCTGCATGACTGCATGCTGCAGTGAATAAACATGAATTAAAAGTAATTTTGTGACATTTAAAAAAATTTAGGGCAAAAAAGTAAACAGTGAGATGCCTCACGATGCCTTACAATGCATAAGTGCTGTTTACTTCACAGCCCACACCGGTGTGGTGTGAACGAGCCCTACAAGATCTCTGCATGATGACCATTGTGGTCAAAGTGAGCAACAACCTAAATATTTATATTAAAAACCTAGTCTGCTCCACACCAGATTATTTACTGTAGCCTTTTCCCATGCACGCCATTCAGAGAATTTACAGTTTCAGTTTTAATTAATTTTTAACTGATAAAAAAATAGAATTTCCCAATATTTTAGGTCCTTTCTAGCAAAACACAAGCACTGCACTTTACCAACTAGATGACACAGAATACACAGAATACACAAAGGTGCTAAATGTAATGCTGAAAAGTTGCATCTAATACATTCGTTAACATTCTCTCAAACGGGGTAAAATCAGGCGAATGGAAACTTCAGTGTAACCACAGTTGCTGCAGTCTGCACTGTTTTTATTGTGTTAAAAAGTGCAAAGTAAAACACTTTGCCAATTGCAGGTCATTTTCTGCATTAAGCACATGTCAGTTCATTGTGCATATTTATTATTAGTAGTCCCTCTGTTGAAAAGGATTTGGGAGAATATGCTGCCCTCTTGTGGTTTTAAAAATTGTATTGCAACATGATTTTGAGGACTGTGTCAAATTTTAGTTAGTTGAAATTTAGCATAAATCATATATACTCTTTTTGAACTGTGAAATAAGCAAAAAATGTAATTTAAAATCACACACACTGTCACAGGTTCTCACCTCCAGCTGCTCTGGTGAAGCAGAAGTTATTGCAATCTGCTGATCTAAGTTCTCCGGTTCCCTTGGAGAGTATATTTGTTCATTGCCTTCAAGTACAACATCTTCTCGAAGGTTCACCCAAAGAATGTTGGAATATTTTCTCTTTGCATCAGTTAGATAGTTGAGGACACAACATGTGGCCTGGTAGGAGAGGAAACAAGTATTTTAGTTATTTCAAAGCAACATAAAAAGGTAGTTCAACATGCAGAATAGAGCAAAGATTTTTATCTCTGGTGGATCAGGAACTATTTTGGTACTTCCACTGTAGATACCACCACCACAGAACCTGACAATGTCCACAGCATAGTCTGTGGCCTCCATTTATTTTCCCAAAATCATATATTGTGCTAATACTAATGTCACCCACACCAGAGTTATTACACAAGCAGAGCATTAACATTTCATCCCTCTGTAGGTTTTAATCTTAAACCCCACATTTTGGATATAATGATGTGGTTAATCATGAAATAAACAAACCAATTAATCTTGGGGTAGTTTGATTCCTGTCATTTATACGACATAGTCATTTGACTTACCAACACCTGTAGCTTGTTACGGCTCCTTGCCTGCTTTGCTGCCTTTTAAAAAAGTTGCAGTGTCAGCGAGTGTGCACCAAATGCCTAGTATTATGCCTACAGGTATTAGGACAATGGCAGCCTCAGCAGAGCAAGGGCCACAAGATGTCAATGGAAAGCTGTATGAAGGAAATGCACACAATTACAGAACTATAGGGGAGGCAGGTTGTTTGGATCAATTTTCTAGGCTCCCCGAAAATTGTTTGTATTTGAAAAAAGAAAAATTTAAAATAAAATGTAATAAAAAAATCCAAACAAAAATCCTGCAGAACAATTGGGACCCACTAATGATGGCCACACCATTATGTGCAGACCCAAGAAGAGCAGATATTTCACCAGCAGAGTCCCCAGGAGATAAAAGAAACAATGCTTTGCTTAAACTCTCCAGCACCAAAAAATACTGGAACATTTTAGGTGGTTTGACCCTTTAAATTGTTCAATAATAGGAGATTCTTTGCTATACATTTTGACATTGGAGTTAGTGAAACACTGAGCCTACATAATATTTTTCATTACAATGGTAAACTCAAAGCCATTGTAACCCCTTTTTTGAAGAAAAAAAAATAAACGGATGTGAAATTACATATATATTGGTAATACTGCACCTTGGAGTTTGGTTGAGCAGTGCCATAAATGGCCGTCTTCGGAACCCTTCTGAAGTTGGCGACCTTCATTTCTTTCAGAGTGCTTAGAACATCTGGTGAGAACCGATCATCCAATACCTGAAACATATATCAGCTAATTGAACATAATAAAGACACAAATGGTTCAAAACTACAGCTTCTACATTTTAGCCTGTTAAATGTTTAGAATCCCTACTGTAGGAATCAAGACTGTCAATATGAAGTCCATTTATGCCGCTTTCCAGTTAGAGAAAGCTTTGCAGGAAAAAAATGCTGTCCTGTATTCAAACCCATGTAAGACTGAGGGCTAGTTCACACCAGAACTGAGTTGGTCTGTGCAGCTGGAATGCAATTTGCCACTAATTTACTGCGATTGTACCGCGATTGATGAGTTTTTTGTTTTTTTTTTGCTTAAAAATGGGATTTCAGGTGGTTTCCAGTGCGTCGGCATGCATTTTTGATGCATTCTGTTGCGATTTGATGCACCTAAAATAGGGCAAGCAGTATTTTTTGGGACTGCATCAGAACGGATTGCACTGGTGTGAATAGAGCACCAGAAATCCCATAGGAAAGCATTCAGATGCATTTTGGCTGCAGCAGCCAGACTGAACAGACTGCATCACAACTGCATATGGTGTGAAGTAGCCCTAAAGCTGGCCATACACCTATAGATTTTCTAAAGATGTGCTCCCCCCACCACTACTGCTAGCAAATCCCAGCTATCATTGTGAGCCTTTTCTCTGTATCACAGCAGCCGCAACAGCTACGAAGCATCTACAAAGTATTGGGAACACTGTTCACAAACTTTGTGGAGGAATACCATGCAACAACATTGTTACATAGTATTTACTCTGTTTCATTCATTTACAGATCAAACGTGAAAAGGTGGTGAAAGGTGACAAAAAACACATCTATATTAAAATGTAAAAAAAGAATTGCTTTGTACCAGAAACACAATTGTATTATCATTACAAGAGGACAAATATTTGAATAAATGTGCACTTTTATCTACAGTAACACTATTTTGTTTTAAAACTAACACTGGTCAAACTGAAAAAGCCATTTTTATTTGTTACTACATCTTTTTGGCTATAAAATACATAGAAAGCAAAAATAGGACTATTGTACTCACTGTAAAATCATTTCCTCTGAGTCCATTAAGAGACAAGGCTTGATGATAATCCAGCAACTTAGGCTGGGTTCACACCTGAGCGGTTTTTTTATGCTTGTTTTTCAGCTAGTTTTTTTTCAAGTTTTTTCGTTCAGTGAAACGCGCGTTTCACTGGCGGTATGATTTTTTTTTCTTTCCTTTATTTATTTTTAATAATTTTTTTTGTTAAGTTTCACTTCTAAACTTCCCGCCTGCTCCGCCCCCCTGCGACGCGGCCGCTCGCAAGGGACGGAACCCGGAAGTCGGCAGCCGCCGAAGACACAGTGGGGATCGCGGACAAGGTAAGACCTGTACGCTGTATTCCCGAGTGTGGCTCGGGGTTACCGCTTTAACCCCGATCCACACTCAGGAATATCAGTGGAAATGCACGGCAAAACGCCCCAAAGAAGCTCCTGTACTTCTTTGGGCGTAGGGCGTTTTGCAATGCGTTCCTACGCGCTGTAAAACGCCCAAGTGGGAACCATGCCCATAGGCAATTATTGGTTTTCACATGTTGAGCGTTTTACAGCGTGTGGGAACGCGCTGTAAAACGCCCAGGTGTGAACCAGGCCTTAGGGTTATACTGCTGTTAGCAGGAGAAATTGACTCTAGGCACATAGAACACTGAACGCCAGCCCCTGTGAAGCTATCCCATCCCACCTGCTCAGTTGTAGCAAACAGTCCAAATAGAGAATGATAGCATATGTGGGGGAGGAGCTGTGTCCCTCAAAGGACTCTGAGAAAAGTTTATTATGGTGAGTATAATAATCCTACAGCTTGATGATAATTAAGCAACCTGGGGACGTCCAAAATCAATCCAAATAAAGGGGTGAGCACATCAACACAATCACAAGTGAACCAGCCCAAAAAAAAAAAACCAAAGGAAAAGGGAAACCAAGGGCATCAAATAACCACTAACAGAATCATTTAAACAAAAAACAAACATCTGCAAGACAGATACATCGACCGTCTAAAACTTATGTAAAGGAAACCAGGTCACAGACATTACAGATCTGAGGCACAAAGGCCTGATGATAAAAAAAACCCAAGCATACAATGCCTTAGTGGAGTTTGCTTAAAAAGGAAAAAGAGGATCTTTATCTTACAAGACATAGACCTGCACAACAACCTGTCAAAACCACTAGAAATAATGGCTATGAAAGCCAGAGAACCTCATTTAGGACCTTCTAGAAAAATAAACAGGTAATCTGTGTGGAGCACTGACAGAGAAAGAGAAAGATCTCCTCGTGGTGAATTGTAGCCATGCGCAGGTATGGTAACACATTATCCTTATTAAGGTTAGAGGCAGAGAGACCAATCTGGGTAAAAAAGAAGGTCCTTGGTCTAAAAACAACCATGCCTTCATGAAAGATCAAACAGGGCTCCGTAAAAGGACAATGTTGGTAACTTGTAATCCTCCAGGTTGGAGTGATGGCCACAAGAAAGACTGCCTTACAGACTAGAAACATCAAGAAGATAGTCACAAATAGGTAGAAAGGGAGGTCTTTGAAACATCAACAATACTGGATTACAAATCCCATGGTTGGAGTGGGGGCCTAACGGGGAACAACATGTGTAAACTCTTGTCCAAAGGAATGAATCAGCAAACGTTAGCTGATGTTGGAAAGGAATGGACACCTGACCTTAGATGGTGCTAAGGGCCAAATGTTATTCTGCCCCCAAATGGAGAAAAGAAAGGACAATGCCCACCAAAAAGGCAACTTGGCAAAAAAAACAAGAGACTTACACCTGTGAAAATAAGTCTTCCACTTTGATAAGAAATCCTGTGGGAATAAGACTAATGAGCTTTCAACATGGTTGGCATTACAGAACCTGAAATACCTCAGAACCTAGGATGCGACCGCTAGGCCATCAAAGCCAGCAACTGAGAAGCAGGGTGGAAGATCAATCCATAAAGCTACAAATCTATTTGATCTAGTAGAGGCCGCAAAGTGCCAGCTAAAGACGAACAAGGTTGGCATACCACACTCTCCAAAGCTAATCTGAAGCTATGAGGATAACTGGAGAAACCCTTGGCTTCAAACTTTTAAAGGGGACGAAGTAATAGCTTCAGCAGGGAAAGTAGTAACTCATGGCATACTGATCCCACAGCACCACCAGAACATCCACTGTTGCTTCCTACATTCTGCACATAAAATCTGCCCAGTTTCCTGTTGAACAGAGAAGCTGGCAGATCCACATTCTGTGTTCCCCAATGCAGATATATGCTTTGAAACACCTCCTGATGGCATGTCCATCCGCCTGGATCCAGACTTTGTCAAGAAATCTGCCCATCAGTTTTCCAATAGGGAAACGTGAGATCCCTGGCAAATGAAACTCCATGTAGCACAGATATTTACCTACAAAGCTGCTCCAACACTACAGGTGCTCACAAAGTTTGATGCAAGCCACAACTGTGACATATTCCAACTGAACCTGGACTGGATGACTAGTCTGAAGGAGGGGATGCAGTGAGGTAACAAAAGACAACATTTGCTCATGATTTGTTAACGCTTCCTGAGACCAACAACCTGGAATGGACAGCTGATACAGAACTCCGCTCCAACCCAGGACGCTTTTACATGGCGAAGACATGTGGTGCATGCAGCACACCATGCCAAAAATGCATTTGTCTGAATCATGCTGAATATTGGACTTGGCTTAAAGAAACTAATTGAAATAAAGTCTGCACCTACTCTCTGTATACACTGTACTACATATTCCGCAGTCCTTGTATCTACAAAATACTTCATTACTGTGCCAACAGTGGCATCCTCACAGATACCATACAGTAAACCTCAGGACAAAGGATAATATTTAGAAAATAAAACTTCCATTACATATTTCTATTTGCACACAGAATATAGTCACAGAGCCAACACTTTGACTCTATGCTGTCTGTAAAAGAAGCCATTTAATATTATAGGCGGCACAGTGGCTTAGTACTTCTGCCTTGCAGCAACGGGGTCCCTGGTCCAAATCCCAGCCAGGGCACTGTCTACATGGAGTTTGCATGTTCTCCCTGTGCTTGCATGAGTTTTCTCCGGGAGCTCCATTTTCCTCCCACACTCCAAAAGATATGCTGGCAGGTTAATTGACTCCTGCCTAAATTGACCCTAGTGTGTGTATGTATGCATGTGAGTTAGAGATCTTAGAGTGTAAGCTCCTTGAGGTACAGGGACTGATGTGAATGTGCAGTTTTGTAAAGTGCTGCCTAAATTGTTGGCGCTATATAAATACTGTACCTGTAATAACAAATAAATGTACCTGTCCCACTGCCTGTGCCATCATGCTCCACTGTATTAAGATACAGCTGGTTGAATGTTCTTTTGCATCCAGCACCCTTCTGGGTGCCTGGTCTCCACTCCGCACTGCGGTTCCTTCTGCCAGCCCTTTACGCATTACAGGGCTGGCTTTACTTGCCACAAAAATGATGTATGTATTACATAAGTATTATCTTTGGATAATGACAAAGTATGGCCTAATAAATAGGCTCATAGTGAAAATGAACAACTTGGTCCGTACAGCTGCAAGAGTTGAAGTTGTTAAAAAACAAAACTACAAATGTTACCTTTTACTTATCTGGCCCCAGGCATCTATCCTAGCCATGGAATTACAATAAATCTATAAACAAAACACTCTTGGGGAATTTATCACAGCAATTGCGAGTGTTTGAACTTGCACGGAATATATTTGACGCACTTTGCACCCGATTTATGTTGCTAGTGTAATGTTGTTCATAAATTAGGTTTAATAGACTCCAGGAAAGAAGACTTGTAACTCCGGGCAAAAAGCTTAAAAGCAGAACTATGGGGTAAGTGTTTTTCCTAAGGGTCACGGGAGGGCACAAACTAGTGTCCTCTCATGACCCAAATCTCAGTATACTGAGTCCGCCGCAGACGGGACGGATCCCGACATTACTGTCGAGATCCACCCAGCTGCATGAGTGACAGCTGACTCTGCCTATCTAGAGGTAGAGACAGCTTTATCCACCCCCTCCCCCGTCCGTTCGACCACTCAGCACTGGAGGATCGGAGCGGGGAGGGGGGAATCCCTGCAGGGAGCTGTGAGTGACAGTCACAAGAAATGAGCGAGCAACGGTATGTGTCCGGTCACATCCCGATCTAATGAGCCGACGTGTGACAGTTTAATTGTCACACGTCGGCTCGAACTATGATTAAAAATGAGCGAAGTTGAGTGAAAATCACTCACCTCATAGTTCTCATTTAACTGTCCCTTCTTGAAGTCATGGGGACTTCTTAAGCTGCGATTGTTATGTTAGGTGATACTCCAGTTTCAGACAGCTGCAGAACAAGTATAGATACAAAATAGGCGCAAAACACATGCAATTGGAAAAGTAGTAAAAGCTCAGGCTAAAAGACAAATTTGCACATAAAAAAAATGATCTAAAAGGCTTAAACTGTCGCAATTGCTTTGATGAACTCCCCCTTCTGAGTATTGTCTCTATACCCTGTAGTGTGCTGCGAAAATTTGCTGGTACTTTGAAACCAAAAAAAAAAAGGAAAAAAAAAAAAACATACCAATACACGAGTCCCTTTGGTTATTAACTCTCCTGATACAGTGAGTTCTGATAAATTCATGCTTGCTTGGAGTCTGTAAATCCAAGGATGAGTACACATCCACCGACTAAAACTTAGTGCAAAAGCCAAGGGGTACTGAAATGATGCATGAGATTACTGTAAGCAGGGACATATAAAGAAAACACAGGAAATACACAATATTACACCAAAATTAGAAATCAATCATGAGTCATCACAGGGATATTTTATCATATATGCACACATACAACTTTGTACTACATTTGTATTGATTTTGTCACACACACATTTGAGTTTCAAGATTTTCCATTAAATAAGTCCCTATCCAGCATTCTATAGTACATTAACCTTTTTCCAATTAGAACATCACATGGTGCTGGGATCAAAAGAAGTGGGTTTTTTCAGCTTTAGAACTTAAGCTGAGGTTACCTGCTCATGAAGGTAGAAGTTGAAAGCTATTAGGTAAAAGTAACGCTCAAGACTATTAAGGGTTCCTCGCAGAAAATATTCTTTGGTACTACTTCCCTAAAAGAGAAAAGAAAAGTATCATAATGTCAAGGTTACACCAGTACCAACAAATATCTATACACCAGCAAGACTAGGGCCTTTTTCAAACGGGCACCTGTCAGCTCCGATCAGCAGGGGATCGGTGCACAGATCCCTGCTGATTGGAGGAGTTTGGATTGATATCAGTGTCCTTCACGGTTTTTTCTTGCGATGTAGGAAAAAACTGAACTTACTGGACCCATGTTAGGTCTATGGGGAGTCGGACATGTGTCAGTTTACATCAGATTACCCCCTATCCACCATGATCAGGTCCGCCAAAATAGAACTCTGTTCCATTTGGTTTTTCAGACCTCAAGTGGATGTAGACAGACGCATGTTTTTTTAGATCCAGCTGCCCATCGACTAACACTAGGCTTCTGATCAGTGCTGCCTTAAAAAATGACAGACTGACCTGATGGGAATGCCCGTCTGCAAGGGGCTCATAGACACATTACTAGAACTTATCCGTATAAAGGGCTTCACTTTGGATAATAATTGTAAAAAGATTTGCTATGGCTACTGGAGTGAGTTTGATGCCTGAAACAGAAGGTATGTTCACAGATACATACATATACATACTTTCATTATGTTATGTCAAGCTGTTTTGTAAAGTACACATCACTCCAAAGTTGTTAAGGAATTTGTTAAGACAATGCAATTAACATATACGAAGTAGTGAAGAGGAAAGCCAGAACCAAAACAATTGTACAATAAATGACTTTCCAACTGTACATTGCATCAGGGTTACTTAAACTACACAGAATACTAAGCCAATAAGCTCTGCTACCAATATTCAATTCAAATTTGTGGAATAACCTTTTAACCAGCACTAAAGCAATGTGTTCGTTCAGAATGAGTATCAATCTCCAATTATACCCGATGAGATGATATTGGTCAGTTCAAGAGAATAATCATTCTGTAAAACAGCGAGTCACAGATCATAGGAGTCAAGAGATCAGATCTTCCAGTCACTGGTCAGCCTATAAACTATCAAGACTCTGAACCTGTCAGCATTTTAAATCAGTATTTTAAATCAGTAAAGGGCAATAGGAGTCTTAAATAATACGTACACATAACTATAAAATGATTGTACGTGCTTATTAGATGATGTTCACACAAATGAAATGACTGAAGCAAATATATATATATATATATATATGGTAAAACACATGCTCCATCAGAGCACTTTAACCTAGTATGTCAGTGCAATTTACTGTAATAGACAGCAAGTACCTGCTAGTGTAGCATCTTTTCACTTGTTTGCAAGTTATGTGACTCTAATGAGTGTATTTTCATCCATTTATTGGCTAGTGCTGTGAAAGTTGTTTTTTTTTTTAACTAAAAACAGACTTAATACATGCAATTCAAATAGAGAAGCTCAGATATACTCGTATTGCCAAATGTATGATCCATTTTACTATGTGTCCAGTATGTTTAACATCTAAAAATAGACATTACCAACACCCCTGAAATTTTCTCTAAGGGTCACCATACACGTTACAATCTGACCACACAATCTTTTTACAATCAACTTTAGATTTACCATAACTACGTAATATGAGGACCTACCCAATATATTGAATTCACTGTATCCAATCAGGCAGGCCCTGCACTACATGCTTTTTGGTAGATCTAAAAGGAGTTTATACAATCAGATTGTAATATGTGTTTGTGGTAAGCTTAAGGAAATCAGCAGTAATTACCATGTTCCAATTGAAGAAAAAAAAGTCTCCCAACACAAATGTTTGTCAATATGGAAAAGATGAATGGAGCTCCCCAACATTACACCCACCCAGTTATACAGATGTTAATAAAATAGTTGGCTACGTCTATCTGCAACTACCTTCTTAAATGGTATCTATGGTCAAAAAAACTGAAAGTAAAAATACATTTCTATATTGAATCTCCCTAAGTTCTATCCCACTCCTAATAACCATATCAATCTAGAAGTTTGTAAACTGACTTACTGATAAATGCCCATAGGATGGACTTCCTCAATGTACTGACATCATTTCACTCAGCCCTGTGAACATTCACCTCCTTGTGTCACAACTCACAGGGCCTGCCTTCTGAACTGCAACCCAACATCTCAACAATGTAACATTATTATTGCTTGCTGGAAGCAATGCATGATGGGATATGTAATTTTGAGAAATGGAGATTGTGTCACATCAAGCAGCAGGGAAAGAGATACAAAGCACACTGGGAATCCAGGAAGTTGTTGGGCAGACGGAAGGCGGCACTCGCTACATAAAAGGGATTTTTTTCAAGTAAGCTTTGATTGCATTATCAAAAACAACTCTAGTATGTATTCCTATTACAATGCTGATGTTATAACAGGATAGAATATGCTGGGACTTTAGAACTACTTTAAGAGGGCCCAAGTAAAGAAAACACACAGCTTAAATGTTCTATTACAATGTTTAGTATAAATAACGTTATATGACGTAATGTTATATATTTATTGAACTGAAAATCATTCTCTATGTTGACTACTGAAAGCCTAATGTAAACACTTGCAGTTGAACTGTTGTACCAGGTGAAGTGATAGATTAAAATGACTTTAGGGGTCAACATTTGTTTGTTTCCTGTTCTAGGCTCTTTGGAGAGAAGAGGAGTGCGACATACAATAGAGAAGAGAATGCCACTTTAAACGTTTTCATTTCATAAATATAAGTGACAGCTGATTATTCGGTCGT